CTGCTGAAACTGACCAGCGCTGACTACAGGAAGCCCGAGGCAGAGTTGCTCTGCCCCGGGCTTCCTGGAATCAGCTGCTGATCAGTTTCAGCAGCAGCTGACTTGGGGACGCTTGGGGTTCTTAAGTTGATTCTGTATGTAAGTCGGAACTGGCGGTCAGTTTCAGCAGCGGCTGAATCTTGACACCAGTTCCGACTTACATACAGATTCAACTTAAGAACAAACCTACAGTTCCTATCTTGTATGTAACCCGGGGACTGCCTGTATATCGAAGGAGAAAAGCCTGTTAGGAGTCTTTGGGTTAAGTTTAGAGGCGGGAGCAACATAGGTGATGTTGTGGTTGGTGTCTACTATAGACCACCCAATCAGGTGGATGAGTTAGACGAAGCTTTCTACAGACAACTAACAGAAGCTTCTAGATCATAGGCCCGGTGTGATGGATTTTCTCCACGTGCGAGCTTCTGGGAAGAGGCCCACTGTCTCGGAGTCCCGAGGTATGGCAGCTATACAGGCGCGAGCTCCCAACTCCCCCTTCCAGGCTGAGTGGGGCCCAGCAAGCCCACCAGGATACCCCGCGACCATTCCCCCTTCCAGGGGGTCCGTATTCTTTACTTATGTATCACTGGGGCAAACGCCCCTCCCAAGATCCTTAGTTTGGTATGAGGTCAATGTGTAAATGGGAAGCAATGAGTGTGGGGGCTAGTGGAACCCTGGCCCACCCTCTCCACTGGGTCCCAGTCCGGGGTCCTATGGGGTTTGGGTATCATCCTTACCCGGCTAACGGGGTTCCACTCCATAACATGTCAGCCTATGGGCACCAAAAGCACTCTGCCCCGGGCTGCTTCCTACCCTCCCTTGGTCTGAGGGTCTCCCGCCCCGGCATCCAGGGACCTACCGCTCTGACAGGGTTCTCAGGCTCCTTGTCGGCACTCCCTCGGGTCTGGTACTCCTGCCTCAACCATGGAGAAAGGAACCACTACCCTACGGTCCTCCCCCTCCTGCTCTCTGGATGCTTTTTGAAGCCCCGCCAGGGCTCATTCTGCCCTCCTCTGCCCCTCCTCTGATGTCCCAAAGCACAAAGCGTCAGGACCAACCCGGCAGCACCCCAGCTGCTCTGCCCCAGACTTCCCCGAGTCAGCTGCTGCTGAAACTGACCAGCAGCTGACTCCGGGAAGCCCTGGACAGAGCACCCCAGGAGTGTTAAAGGGCCACTTCATCTCAACTGGTCCCTGAAATATGTGTTAACTACTTATAAACAATCTGTTCTACCTTGTATTTAGTACACTAGGGGGAACTCTGTGCCAAAAAGTTAAAAATTCTGTGCAAACTTTTAAAATTGTGTATTTTGTGAAAATAATATAATCACACTAGTTTCAATTATTTTAGTACAGTAATGTATTTTAAAATACTTTTCAGCAAGTATGTCTGTAGCAATGCAGATGACAAAAAAGATTCAGTACAAATAGATTCTGTAGTAGGCATATTAATAAAGATATTTTGAGTAATAATTAATTTAAACTGCAATAAAGAAACATATTTCTTCCTATCCCCATCAGAAGAAGTGCAAAGGCTTGGGGGAGTCAGGGGTAATTGAGGTGAGGGAGAGGGAAGTAATTTTAGGGAAGGAACCTAAGTGTGAACTTGGTTTGTTGAATGTGATTGAGAGAAGTATGGAACAGATTTTTTTTTTTTTTTTGCGGGGGATTTGGGAGGCACAGGGAATGCTTGGAGTCTCCCCCCAACACAGATCCTGGCAGACCTCTGGCCTCTCACATTCAATCAGGCACATCTGCCCTTGTCAACCATCACCCCTCCTCCCATCCTCAGGCACCCCCAGAGTCACCTCCTTCCCCTACATGTCCCTGCACTTGCACTTAGCCATCCCTCTTCCCTATGTGTCGCTGTACCTCCACTCCCATTCAGCCCCGATCCAATCTCTTCCCCCATCCAGTAGCCCTTCTGAACCTGTCTATATGACTGTCTCCCCCCAGCAACCCCATGTCACCTATGCTGTCCGACCTTCCATATCCTATGTCTCTCGACTTTGACTCAAAGCCAGAGCAATGTGAGGAAAACAACTTCTTCCCTTTTCTATCTCAGCTGTTACTGCTCCCACCCAGAAGCTGCTCTGTATTCTAGTGCCAGAGCTGACTATAGGGGCAAAAAGCACACGTGCAGCACTTGTCCATCAGAAGGTATTTTCTGTAGAGAGGAAAAAATTCTGCACAGGCTCTGAATCCTGGCATGCACAGTGGGGCAGAATTTCCTTAGCAGTAATTTAGCTATGACATCGAATACGTTTTCCAGACCTACAGAAGTTGGGCCAATAAAAGTTTCAGCTCACTGACCTTGTCTCCCTAATATCCTAGGTCCAACATGACTACATAATTACATATCACCTTATATGGCATTTCTGTCTGAGGATTGGAATAATCTGTGGCACCTCCTACCTCCCACACACATAAAAAGTGATTCCCATTGGTCCTCCGAGCTGGCATTTTGTTTTATGATCCCCTTACCCTAAGCTTCCAAAATTAAACTTGTAATTTTATATTTCTGCACAGGTGTTTGATTGCTATACAGCTGCCCAAATGAATTGTACTAACGCAAGAGGAACTGTTGGCTTTGTAGAGGTCCTAGTGGAAATCTATTGCATGTACTAATAGAGGTACAGATGTTACAAATAATGGAAAAGAAATATTTAAAAAACTGGAATTGAGCTATTTGATCTAATTACATGGTGGTATTTGGCTCTTCTAGTTGGTAGCTAAGTTTCTTAAATCCTGGTAAAGATAGACTTCAGAAACTGATGAACTCAATTCCTGGAATGTTTGTTATTTTGAAGAATGCTTTACTCACAGGGCCTGACAGGCAGAATACTCAAGGGAGCCTCTGGAAATTCTTTTTTCTAAGCTTCTCAATGTGAAATCATTAAGGCTGTGTCTTGACTGGCCAGTTCTTCCGGAAAATCAGCAGCTTTTCTGGAAAAACTTGCCAGCTGTCTACACTGGCCGCTTGAATTTCCGCAAAAGCACTGACTTCTTACTGTAAAAAATCAGTTCTTTTTGCAGAAATACTATGCTGCTCCCGTTCAGGCAAAAGTCTTTTTCTGAAAGACTTGTGCAAAAGGGCCAGTGTAGACAGCAGAGATTTCTTTTCCGCAAAAATGCCCCGATAGCGAAAATGGCGATCGGGGCTTTTTTGCGGAAAAGCGCATCTAGATTGGCCACGGACGCTTTTCCGCAAAAAGTGCTTTTGCAGAAAAGTGTCCTGCCAATTGATGTGTAAAAGGGAAGTCAAATCCCCCGGAGCCATTGATTCCCCTATGAGGGGCACGTACAATATACATACATTGCTAATACTTAGATATATTTGCTATTTGTATAGGAGTAAGACATGACAAAGGTCAAGGCCTGTCACAGGTAATAACTTATAATAAGGAGACGAGGGGAAGTGAAACCAGTCTTCTGTTAAGTGGAGATATGGATAGATTCCACATCCTTTAAACTTGTGACCGGCTCAAGCAGGAAAGGAAAAAGGGAAGTATGGCTCGCCCATTGTTCAGCAAAAGTGAATGAATGTAATACAGCTGTAACCGCAAAGTCAGCAAGTAGGCACTGTATTTAACCTCATTTGGAAAATTAACCTGACCTATAGGAATGCTAAACATCAAAAATGAAGTAACCTATCATGTTAAGGCACCTAAACCAGGAAGGATGTTAACCCTATAAGAACCCCTGCATATGAGATGTTGGGGGTCGGCTCTGCTTTGAACATTGAGTTCCTTAGCCGTACCTTGGTTGCAACCAATAAACTTGAGTTGGACCCAGCCTGAAAGTGTGACTCTCTTCTTGGGGTAAATCAGACTAGCCTCCAAGGGGACGAAACCAGCAATTTATGCAACAAAATCTAGATGATCTTTTCCGAAAATGCTTTTAACGGAAAACTTTTCTGTTAAAAGCATTTCTGGAAAATCATGCCAGTGTAGACGTAGCGTAAGTGACTGTAGTTTGGCATAGCTGTAGACCACTTGGCAGGTATGATATGAGGTTATGTTGGCTTAATTGTTCTGCACAGGAGTGTGGATGTTTACACTACTTTGCAAGATAGTTACGAAGGCTTTTCTTGTATACACCTGGACTTGGAGTGTTTTGTTCTTGCTTAAAGTGGATTAAGTTGCCCATGAGCAAAGCACTCTTCCAGAACACAGGTTAACCTGTAGAGCTATATACAGCACAGCTATTGCACTTAAAGCCATTCCCTCTCTAAACCTGAATTCACTTTCAAGCCTGAAATTGCTCTAAACTCACCCTTGCAATTAATCTGCTTCATTTTTTTCTGCAAGCCTCATCTCAGCCTCAGACAGGCCGCGGGCCCAGTGTTTGTAAACGGGGGGTGGAGGGGGAAGCACTGATTCAAAACTGAAGATATTTGTGTTGCAGAAAGGGACACAACTCCCCCCACACGCTGCCAGCAGGGCAAAGCTGCGCTCCGGGCGCGAAGGGACTGGGGGTGCGGGGTGCAGCAGGTTCACTAGGTGGCGCTGCGGGCGGTTAACGGACGCGAGCACGCGGCCGCTCAGCTCTCTGCGTTGGCCTGCGGCGTGTGAGGTGAGCGAGGCCTGGGCAGCCTCCCGCGCGCCCAGGCAGGGCGGGGTAGGTGGGCGGGGCCTCCCATGCTGTATCCCTACCATTGCTGCGGACTTGGGAGGAGCGCGCGCCCTTACGCACTCCGCGTGGTCGCTCTCCATTGGCCAGGCAGCGCGCTGGACACCTAAGGGTAGCCGGGTCATCCCATGTGCTCCGATCCCGCCAGTCCTGACTCGCTGGGGCCCTGTTGAAGAATCACCAGGCTTGCAGGCATCACCGAGGACAGCCATACCGGGGTCTTGAGAGGCCGGCCGGGCGCCCCCTCTCCTCAGCCATCTCACTTCAAGGCCTGACGGTTGCTCGGCGGAGGCTGCTGACATGGTGGGTGCTCGCGCTTCTCCAGGGGTCCCCTGCCCCGTTCCCGCTAGATCGGGTCTCCCCTTCCAGTAGGGGGCCCCGGCCTGCTCCTGGCGAGCTCGCTTCGATCCAGTCTCTCCCGGACCGCCTGGCTCGTTGCGGAGCGCGGGACGGGGCGCAAGCTGCCAGCCGGGCGCGGCCCAAACGTGCCCGAGTGGGGGAGGGGGTGCGATGGGGCTGGAGACGGGGGGAGGGAATTGTCTGCAGGCGGCGGGGCGGGCGATGCCGGTGTCGCGCGGAGGGAGGCGACCTGGTCTGGGGCTCGGGGTGGGGCCAGGGGGCGCTGAGCTGGCGGGCGGGAAGGCGGAATGCGAGCGGAGCAGGCTGGGCCTGCAGTCGGGGAGCACGATGCGCAGGCCCAGCCACGTGCGGGCGGGTCGCTGCAGAGCGCCACTTGAATTGCCATTAAGCCGGGGGTGGGGGTTAAACAAGTACTAACCAAACCTAGAAGTTATCCGCGTTAGTGAAAACGTGAACTTACCGACGTTTTTATTTGTAGACTTTATGGAATGAGTTAGAGATTTTATGAGAGAGAATAAAAGCAGACTTAGATTTCTGATTAAAACGGATGGGGAACTCTTATTCCGTCGGGGGTCACTAACCCAGAGAAAAATCAGTTGGAGGGCACAGAAGGGGGGACCCTCACGTATGTGGCTCCCAACTGAGAAGCAAGAAAAAAGACACCCGTCAGGCTCTAGATAGGGTGAGGGTGCAGGGTTTGGGCATGAGATAATTTTTTACAACCCTAACAGTGTAACCATTAAAAATCCTAGCTGTTAGTTAACTGTTTTTGGTGGGGTCTGATTTATGGAGGGAAGGATGGTGGAGAGGTGCCCCTGTTGTTCCGAGAACTGCCTGCAGATTCCACAGCAAGGGTTGCAATCTGGCACTCTGGGAGCTAGCATGCAGCACCAGAAGAGTTTAACCATAGCAGAAACCTACAAGCTGATGCTTAGGTTAAACAATTAAACTCTTACATCCCTAGTGGGAGGTGGGGTGCAGGAATGGCCTAGGGATGAGAGTGTGGGGTCTAGATAGGACGGATGGTGCAGGAGCGTGCTGGGGAATAGGGGGCAGAGTCTGGAAGACAGGGTGCAGGAGTGGGAAGGGAGGCTTTCCTGCAGTATGCAGAACCTCTTCCTTTCCGTGCCAGGCAGAGCCTGTGGACCAGATGTGGCTCTTAACTTGCCTTGATCTGGCCCACGAGGCTTGGGATCTTCCCTTCATCCCCTGTGTGCTGTGGGCATGCTGGTGCCTCCTGGCTTATGCACCAGTTCAAGCTTGCCCCACCTCATGACCTGATCAAAGCAAACAAGAGCACATCCAAAGCAAACAAGAGCATGTCTAAACTACATTCCTCTTTCGAAAGAGGAATGTAAATGAGGCCGTTCGAAAATTCAAATTAAGCGCTTTTCCTGAAAAAGGAGATGTTCGGGTTCTTTTGAAAAAGGGTTTTTTCCCCTGAAAGAACCCCGTCTAGACTGCGGTTTCTTTTTTGAAAGAGCTCTCAAGTGGTTATGCAAATGAAGCACAAAACTTGTAAATCTGTGCTTCATTTGAATTTTTGATCAGCCTCATTTACATTCCTCTTTCAAAGGAGGAATGTAGTTTAGACATAGCCCAATTGTTCATTCTGATCTGTTAGTAAACTTAAGTATTGCTTGTAAGAATAATAGGTTTTTAAAAGAATAGATACTGAGATTTCTTTAAATTGTTAATAAAAATTAAACTTTTTTTTCCCAAGGGAACACCACAAAAGGATGTTGTTATCAAACCTGATGCACCAAGCACATTGCTTTTGGAGAAACATGCAGATTACATAGCTTCTTACGGTGCAAAGAAAGATGATTATGTAGGTACTGGCTTATTTTGCTGTTGATGATACTCTGATAAGTGATGTGTTGCCATTTCTTGCACTGGTAGGAGTAAGTTGGCAGATGAGTTAGGAAGTTCTTTCCTTCTCTGAATGCAGAGGAAATTACTAAAGGAAAAGATTCTGTTCTGAGAGGTGGAGATGGTGGTTTTCCTTGGTCAATGATGAGACTTGGCATGTATTATCTGACTCAAGTTGAAGATAAATGCTTTAGCTCTAGAATTACTCTGAGACCTAGGAAATGAGATCTTTTCCTTATTAGAATGAATTTGTGCTCCAGTGATACTTGATGTTTGGCAATAGGTTTCATGTCTCATAGTTACATTTCTGCCTACTATAGAAAACTTCAGCATCACTAGATTTAATCTAGATGCTACTTGAAAATATATTATTTTAGATGTAACCCTAAATTTGGGGTATTACCATTAGGGTTGTAACCTGTTAACCGGTAAGCATCACCTTTGAGTGGTGCTTGCTGGTAACTGGTTCACCAGTGACCAGGCCGGACTGGAGCAGCATGGGGCAGGCCAGGCTGGGGTGCAGGCGTGGGGGCCACTCCAGCCTGGGTGGGCCCCCGCCCATGGATTTCTGATTCATAGTTAACCGATTAAAGGTGACATAACATTTAACTGATTAACCAGGATTTTATATCCCAAATTACAATAAACTAATCAGTAGGTAAAAGAGTTACAGATAATTTCAGAGGTGTTTGTCAGACTCCAAGTTGTAGTTATCCTTGCCAAATACAGACAAAAAGACACTGTCTTGTGCTGCTGCTTTCGGTATCTGATTCCCACAGGACCCTAGATAACAGAAGGCAGGTGAGACTCAGTCTCTTCTATGTATTTTTTTGTAGCCAATTAGCAAATATTACCTTGTTAACTTTGAACCTTAGCCAACTAATCCTATCAGGTTTTATGAAAGAAAGTATTGTTATGGTTGGCTCTGGTCATTCACCCTCTTGGGGTATTTTTTGGGAGAAGGCAACAATTATCTGCTGGTGACATAGAACCCAGATTGCTGTTTTCTCACTCTCATGAAAAGTGAAAATACTTTCTCTTAGTGCATCATCCAACAAGATCCCCAACTAATGAATAAAGTTCTTGACCCAGTGAAGTCACTGGGAGCTTTGGCATTAGGGACTGGCTTTCACTTTAAATTTCCAAATACAGTTCCATGTAACCATCTTTAAAAAAAAAAAAAGGTTAAAAGAAATAGAGCTATAAAAATGTGGGATGCTTACCAGTTTCAGTTAAATGCGGGGGCTAGAGCAGTTCTCCAGCCCTGTGGGGCCACCAGAGGCCTGCTTCCTGGCAGCAGAGTTGCCAGGGGCTAGCTCCCCCGGAGGGTTTCACTGCGGGTTCTGCAGTATAAAGCGTAAGTATAAAGCTTATCTGCAGCATGTGTAACTGCTGATATTTTCAGCATTACATGGTTACTTATTTAACATTTTACATCCCTAATAAAAGTATTGTGGAAAGCCTGGCACTGACTTAACACAGTAATGAAACATCTTTCTCCACATCAAATAATTCAATCTTTAACTGCCATTTGAGTGTATTTCAAATGAGTACTGATAAAGCCTGCCATATCTGAGGATTTCCAATTAATGGAAAACTTTAACATTTTTAAATATTAGGTGAGCCAGAAATTATGAAAAATCTTTTGGGGAAAATACCAGTCCATAGTACGAAAATGAATTCTGCTCTGTGGGCCCCAACAGCTGCTGACTTCAACATGATTCTTGTCAGTTTCATAGAGGTGGGGGATCCCAGTTGCCCAGACTCCTGATACAGTTGGCTCCCTAGTTTGGGGGTCTGGAAACATTTGGAGTTGGGGCTAGAGCCAGGCCTCTTGGGGCTTCTAAACTTCTTTTGTAAAACGGGAGAGCCTGAATCCTGAGGGTATATCTCTGCATTTCAGAAAAACAGATCTGTGGCAGAAAGTCTGAGTCTTGGTCTAAAACTCAGGCTTGAACTGTGGTGCTAAAATAGCAATGTAGATTTCCTTCTTTGGCTCTGAAACTGTTTCACAACCTGAGGGGCATGTCTGCTCAGGTGTTGAGTACCATTGAGCAATGCTGAGTCTGCATTTTTGTATTCAAGCAGGGCTTTAATAGTGAGATATGGTCTGGATACAAAAACACATAAAAAGTTAAATGTAGATCATGAGTCGGATACAAGCGAACTATTGTCGATACAGCTACATGCTCTTATATCCATACTGGGCCCTCATGTTTATATGTATTTGCTTAAGAGTTAATTTTTTGTATACTGTTTAGGAGTACTGTATGTCAGAATATCTGAGGATGAGTGGTGTCTACTGGGGACTGACAGTAATGGATCTCATGGGACAGCTGCAACGAATGAGCAAAGAAGAAATTCTGGCATTCATCAAATCCTGTCAACATGAGTGCGGGGGAATAAGTGCCAGTATAGGTCATGATCCTCACCTTTTATATACCCTTAGTGCTGTCCAGGTAAATAAGAGAAAAGAAAATATTGGAAGTACGTGAAAACAGCTGCTTGATTTAATAAATGCTTTGGACTATTCTAGATACCACCAAGGTATTTCACTTTTCTGCTGTCACATTGAAATGCTTTATTGTATCATGATTTGTTCATTAGAAAAATTGTTGAACTTATATATTTAGTTGTAT